GAGAAAATTATGCGCTTGAAAAGGATAGGGTGTTATGATGAATACCCAAAAATTCTGGGTGCAGGACTTTCACGAGATAAATTACTTCTGAGCAGCCAGACGTCCAGCACACATAATTTCTTCCACCTTCAAAAGAATGAAAAATGCCTGACGTGGGAAAAACCCTTAAATGTCAGCCTTTTCCACGAGAAAATGCCTTCATTGCTCCTAAGCAGCTGAAGGCCACATGTACGCGACTGTATTTCCGAAAGGAAAAGCTGACTCAACGTTTACCAGAAGCATCACCAGCAGTTCCTCAGAAGCTTTTTTTTTCGAACACGAAAAATTTCTTTGAGGAACACAAACAGTTTTGAAATGATTTGTAGTACAGTACTGTACAAACAAAATATGTTTATTCGAAGGATAAAAACATGGAACGCGGAGGACGTATCACTGCCGGTGTTCACCACGTAACTTCTACAGTGCTTTCGTTGCCTAGTTTTGAATTCAACTCTTATCGAGTAGCCGATTGTCAAATCAATTCACTGAAGAATTAATTGGAAAATATTTCCCATGAGGGGGTTGAGTACAACTGTACAGATTATTTAAGAGGATCACAGTACCTCGTCTTAAACTCAAGTTACGGACATATATTCACTGAAAACGGCATCAAGTCCAGAAAAAGGCCCTGCATGGGTGGTATATAAGTAAATCCACAAGAGATGGTACACATGCACTGCCATTATGTTTCGAAAGTAGAAGTACAGTACTTTACTGTGGCATTATCCTCATTTTAAATTTAAACCGTTTCTGAAAAGTACAACTTTCAAGAGAGCCTTGAAAGTGGAAGCACTGAACTGAATTGTATTCTGTTTGTTTTTTTCATATTTTTTTCAAAAGCGCTATTTTTAAGACATGTGAATGCCTGTGCACCATCTCCTATAGCTTTTATGGGTATGAAGATGAACTGTGATTTTTATTCAAATCAAGGATGCATTAATTTACTATTATTTTTAAAATGTTCCCTCTTGACCCAACACAAACTTCGAATTTATATGTCTACTGCTTGTGGTTTCTGTGATGTCATTTGTCCAATTCAAGCTGCCAACATTTTTCTTTGCTTCCTTTGTAATTTCATTAATAAAATTTTGAATTGAATGACATACGCTTATTTTGCAGCTTTGTTCATGCAGTTGAACCTCTTCAAGCTGAATCTCAAGGGACCAGCAGAAAAGAAATTGAGTAAGGGAAACAATCATATATTTGTTATTGTAGAAGAACTGCATGAAATTGTAAATGGTGATATTCAAGGCCTTAAATTTCTTCCTAAATGAGTTGACTGGATGCTGGCCTGTGAGGCAAGGGTTTATTTGCCTAACTAGTCTCATTCATTTTTCAAAATACATGCTTATTTTCCATACATTTTTTTCTCTTTCCTGAGAATGAGAGCCAAAAGGCCCGAGAAAATTTGAGTTACAGAGGTTTGAGAGAAAAAAAGCCTTCAAGTTGAGAGGTTTTTAATGCATGTTTTCAAAGGGGAATTCAGATGGGGACTTCAAAAATCTAGAAGTTCAAGTTAACTTTCAAATTATATACCTGTTGTTCAACCGTGAACTAGGAAACCCTCACTTACTACCAGCTGAAAAGCCAAGTTTTAAAGATATAGTCTAGTTCTAGACAATAACACGATTGCACACATCAAGTCCAAGCCTGGCGAACTCGTACAAACTCGCGTTTTGGACGTGAAGTTTTTTCTTTCTGAAAAGGAAACAACTTCCTGGGCTCTTACGGAATGTCTTAATTCACTAATCTTAATGAAATAAAAATTATCGCAGAGGATCGTGAAGTGTTACTTAATTCTCACTCGTCCCTCGTAAGGACCTCCTCGGTCAGACGCCGGCGCAAGACTAACCAGCGACTGTCCGCCAGGGACTTTAGCCAGCTTCCCGATCGCGAGTCATCCGTCTCCCCGGTTGTTCCCCCGCGCAATGCTGTCATTGGTTGCCGAAAAACAACGCGACCGGCAAAACGCATGATCGCTCATTAGACTGATGGGGTTTAGCATTCAAAATTCCATACTCATGTTGCCTCAATATCTGGTCGATGAGCAAGTTTCATTGACCATATTGACGCGAGTACCGGATCACGCGCACACGTTTTTCTGTACAATTGAGGCAGAAAAGGGGGGCGGTGCACCTGGTATGTGAGTACAGTATATTATTTTTAAATAACACATGAAAAACCATTGGTGTTAGTCATAAGGAAAATAATGAACACATAATTCTGTTTTGTACTTACTCTTTTACAATGCTTCAAGTTATTTTGATGATTTATACATGATTATTTAAAAACAATTGCGGTATTCACAGCACGAATATAAGCACCCTCTTTCCAATTTTAGAAGCTCGAAAAGGCATATATATTTCGGGTGCTTATACCGTATTTTAAAATGTATACAATTTGCGTAGATATGCGTATGCATTGGAAAATCTCCCTGTTCGCAGACAGCTAAACGATCGAGGACTTGTTTTTCTTCAGTACTTTTGGGATTGGCGTTAAAAAAAAAAAATTCGAGAATGATCAGCTCCAAGATGCTTTAGTCAGTTAGTGCTTCAAGATGCATTAGTCATTGACTGAAGGCGAAGAGCCAGTGTTGTGTGACAGTATTTTTCTGTCATCGGGAGAGACCTAAATTTAATCAGGAATTTGGCATTCCTGGAAAGTCAGAACACCACGGAAGTATTTTAAGTGGGTGCTTATACATATTTGCCGATTAAATCAGTTTTGATTTTGTGCAAGTTAAATATTGGAGGTATTGCCTATCTTTAAGGGGTACTCATGTTTCCGTGAATACGGTATTTGAAAAAAAAAAAAAAAACGTGTTAAACCCGTAAAAATTTGGCAAATTTTGCCAGGGACAGGATTTTGGGCAAATTCTAGGCAAAAAAAAATTAAGGTGCGCGTTTCACGGCTCCACAAAACATGGTACTTGAGTAAACAGGGGTAGTTCAGATGAGATAGCATGCATAAAAAGTTGTTCATCTCCAAACTTGTGAATACACTTTGAATAAAATTCATATTCTATAAAAGGTCAGGAAATATTGTAATGTTTGGTAATAAAAAAGGTGGGTATGCGTTCAACTTGAAATATGTTTTCCTAACATTTTCTGAGAAGAAACTTCAATTCGCGTTTTAAGCATATAGTGGCACAAGGCATATGGTGCTTGAGTAAATATGTTACCCAGGAAAGCCTTTCTGCTGTGCTTCAAGGCAACACTTCAAGCCTCTTAAACTAATTCGAGGAGCAAAAAAATTACCTCGTCTCGACATTTTATTTTCGCGACTGCGTCAATGGACGTCCAATTCTAAAATAATGGCTCGTTATGTAGGAGGAAATGTCTTTCCCTTGGTTATATAAGTACAATGCACCATTGACGCGGTGTACTTGACCTATGGTATCACTCAGGATGATGAAAAAGTAACCACAGGGTTAGGAACAAATCTCGGTATATTTTCACGCACCTCGTCAAGCTCTCTCAATCGTCTTTCCTGGCACAAATGAATTGAACCAAAATTCCGCTGCCTCCCTCACCCATTACTTCATGTCAACAAAAACACAAAGCAATTTTATCCTACTCTATTTTAGTACGTTCACTTGTGACTTACAAAGGAGTGGAACAAATTCCCCGTCGTCCGAAGTCAATTCAAGCTTCTTCTAATCTAGACAAATGATGCCAAGAAAACGCACTCGCACTTTAAAATCAGATTCGCAAAAAATATTGCATTATGTGGTATTAAGATCACCCTTCTGTGGGGCAAAGAAACCCTTCATTTGTCCTCTAAAAGATACATTCAAATCCACGCAAGAGAGTATTTTCAGTCGACCAAAAGCTACTTCAGAGTTTAGACGTTCATTCAAGGGAATTTTAAAAACTTGAATCTTCACGAATCCTTACGCTTTCTCCCGTGATTGGATGGAGGATAAAAGCCCGATAGGTTTCTTTAAAAAAGGGGCTCTAAAAATTGAATAAATTTCGCAGATGACTGAAAAACAAGAAACGTGTCTAATTAACTCAGTACTCGCTCGTTCAAATAACAGGCAGGAAAGGTCGAAGCTCGTCAAACCTTTCATTATTCTTTTTTTTTCGATATGAACGTGCGATTTTACGTTTCGTCATTGCATAAATCACTCGATCTTTCTTTTTTTGCGTCCGGTTCCCACAAGAGTAAAAAATCTCTGATTCACAACAATTTGGGTCACTTATCCAAGCAGAAAAATATCCACCCCTCGGAAAATTGCCGACACCATTCAAACTTCCAATACCAAGAGCTCAATGTGTTCAACTCATATTGGAAACGCTTATACTGTAACTGAAAGTCCAACAGATCCGAACAATACTGCATTCTGGAAATGAAAGATTTCTTTTGAACGGATAGTTTAAAAAAAAAAGTTGCCGAGATTTTTATCAAATGACTCACGCGTAAATATCGGCACGATATTTGCAAGAGGAATGGACACGAAAACGAAATCGGAAGCAGGAATTTTGGAATTACAGTACTTTTTTCACCACCGTTTTTGCGAAGAAAAATTAACTGGCATTTCATAAAGTCTTTCATTCTTCCACCCATAATCAAGAGGCATTACCTCAGCTTTGAAACGATATGTTCATTGCAGCAACGGCGAGAAAAAGCAATCCAATCTCATATTAGCGCAAATAAAAAAAAATTGAATTTCGGATGAAAGGAAGAAAAGACTTTCGAGTCGAGATAATCGGGAACTCAACTCGGGACCCAATTACCCGAAGCGGGTTCATAAAATTCGTTATGCAAAACCCAACCCAGATCTAAAAATAGAAATAAAAAAAATTTTAAAATCGTGGGTAAGAATGGAAAGATATTTTACTGCTTGGATAATTCCGGGGAGGCAGCCAGGTCACTAAAATTTCTTTAAAATTCCATCTCTCTCTCTCTCTTTCTCTCCTAATGAGGGAATTAAAACGAGACAAAAAATGAAAAGAAACTCAAAGAGCCACGGCAGTTCGGGCCACGGCTTGCGTCGACTTCAGCTCCATGTCCGACGGGTGTCGATGATGAAGTTGATGAACAATGATGATGATAACGTCCAGGCGAGTCGTTGTCCTGTCAATTCTTGGCTGTCAATTCTTCTTGTTTGTTTTTTTGTTTGTTTGCTTCGTTTTCAAATTCGGATCCGTTTATTCTGGAACGGGTCCCTCGCGGGAAGTGAGTCGTTTGAGGTTCGGACGATCGTATTCTTCCATGGACATGGACCGGTTGCGACGAGGGATGCAAGCAGGGTTCCCGTCGTCCGACGCGTTGCTGCCAGAGCTGAAAGTTCGCTGGCGCTCCACGCCAACCATCGTCACCGAGGACAGCAGACCCAGGCCTTTCGCGAACAGCAGCAAACTCTGCGAAACCTTCTCTGGCTGCAAAAAAAAAAAGAGTGATAATTAAGTAAACGCTCCATGTCAGTGTTCGCCAACCTTTTTGGACCTGCTAATATTTCATACAAATTTTCTGCGGACCGGCATATTTCAAAAACATTTTCTGTCGACCGGCAGAATTCAATAAAATGTTTGCAAACCGGCAAGCAAATTTAAATACCGTACATCCCATCAAGTCCTCCAAACCAAACTTTCATTTCAAAATCAAGTCAAGCACCAGTGGAGCAGCTGAAGTGCATTGTCTTCAAAAAATTAAAAAGCCGGGCTTAAAAAAGGGTTTCCCAGAATTAAAAGTGGAAATAACTTATTTCAGCAGGTGAAAATTATTCTCGAGTGTTAAGGGAAAAGCCATTTAAAAAATTTTTAATCTGATACTTTCAACTGCCATTGGTACGGGCTGTGTCAAAAGTCAGTTAAATCATAATTACTGCCAGAAATTTTTTTTTTAATTTTCAATAGCGGGGCGTTGATACAAATTTTAAATTGTCAAAAACTAGGTAATCTGCAATAGCGTGCAATGCAGTACAGTACAGTACTGTACACGAAAGACGGAGGGCCGTAAAATAGGCAATTTGTCATTTAAAAATGGAAAAGCTAATCTTTTCAATCACGGTGAAACTACAGCTCCTCGGTTAACAATAATGAACTACGTGTAAGTGGGAATCGAAACATATAAAAAAATTTCGTACAAATAATTTTTACTCCTTGAAATCGTAACCTGAAGCTATCCATAAACTTCAATCTGCTTTCTTTGCTTTGTTTCAACAAATAGAGCAAGCGTATGCAAATACTTATTCAATTTCAGAAAAGTCATAGTCATAGTCAGTTTTGTTACTCAGTCTTCCACTTATACTTCAGATATAAAGTAAAAACTTTTCACAGCGCAGTAAAGTACTGTACTTGATCTCAGGTGGTGTGTTCTGTATCTGCAGAACTTGCATCTGCTCTTCAACGAATATTTTAATCACGGAATTATTTCTCCACGACAAAAAAAAGGGCTTACAGCTTCGTTCAAAGCATCCCCAACGCCTTCAATTTGGATCATCTGGCTCTTGGCTGGATTCATGTTGCTCAACATCGTGCTCACGCTGTGTTTGTACGAAGACTTGGCACCTGTGATCAGCAGAGCGTCTGCCTCCAGCTTCTCCTTCAGCGAATGAGACACGTCCGTTCGCCTGTCGAAGTAGCATCGCAATTTAGAAATGATGAACACGCCTCTCGTTCCTCTCAAAGCATTTCAATCCTTCAATGAAAACACGACTGATCTCATGAATGATAAATACGTTTTTTGATCAGAACTTATTGCGTTGAACTTCTGTAGGTCGAATTTCTAGGGACCAGAAAAAAAATTCGACTTAGAGGTTTTGATTTTGCAGGTTTTGAATCAAGGAAAAAATAATTCTTTCTGCGAGGATTAGTAAAAAAATTGCAAGAAATTGTAAATGAGAAGATTCTGGGCCTAAACTTGCCTCTTGATGAGTTTTTACTGTGCTGAACTTGGAGGCAGGGGTTCATTTGCTTTATGTGTCTTTCAATTCCTTCCAAGATGCATCAAATTAGTTGTTTTAATCATTTTCTCTCTCATATTTCACAGAAATAATAACCAGAAGGCCTCAAAAAATTCGACTTACAGAGGTTTTAGTAAAAAAGAATTCGAGTTATGGAGGTTTTTAATGTATTAATCTTAAGGGAATTTGGACAGGGACATGACTAAAATTCGAGTTAGGAAGGAATTCGACTTACAGAGGTTCGACTTATCGAGGTTCACCTGTACTCTAACACATTAAAGAACACAATTTTAGGGGGGAAATACGGTAGATTAATTTGAATCTTTCCGGTTATTGAAGTAACGTAAGCTCATGCGTTTTTTAAGTTTTACGCTTACGCTGTGGAAGTCTTGTTGGATGGATGATTTACGTAAGTTTTACAGCGCAATCTTCAAAAATATACTAAACATTATTTTAGATTTGCATCTCAGGATTCAGGAATCAGTTTCATTTGGTAAATTTCATACGCTTGCAAGTACTGTATTCTCAAGCGCAAACAAATCTGCATTAAAAACCTTAAATTATCAAAAAACTTACAAAAATTTGGTAAAATGCTTTAATCCTGTTTTTTTCTTAGGCAAACATTCACATCCAGCATCACTGTCGATATGGCGAACCACGAAAAGATAGAAACAGGTCGGGGTTTCGGTTCGAGATAATTCCTAGAAAATTCACGTTAACCAGGATGTCACTAAAGCTCTTAAGACTCTTTCAATCCTTGAAGGTAGTCGACATTTTTTTAGAAAGAGTCTCTATAAGAGCGAAAATTAGTAAAAACATTCATGCCTGTGAGTGAACTGAAAAGCGTTCACGAACAACCTCAAGTTCTTGGTATTTATCGAAGAGCGCAATTTCTGCTGGAACTCTTCGATCACTCGGGCCTTGTTCTCAGCTTGCTCCACTTGCTGCTCGTGCAAATAAAAAACTGAGATTAGTGCTGATCGAAATTGGCATCATTTTCGTCACGTGTATTCGCTATGGGGGACTCGACAACGCTCTCAAAAATATTCTGCATCTTTTAAGTAAAAATTACATAAGAAAAAAACTTTCGAAAGATAAAAAGTATCCATATAGCGCCTTCATCGGTACTCAATTCCAGAACACAGGACGGTAAAGATGAAAAAGGACCAAAGAAATATTTCTACGCAAGAACACCTCCCGCAATAAAAATATTGCAAATTTCTTCAGATCAGTGCGACGTCATTCCAAACAAAAGGAAAGCACACATTCCTTTGCAAGCAAAATTATTCCTTCGTGTGTCCAGCCATTTTTGGAACAGAAAAAAATGATTCAACATGCTCAAAATAGTCAAAGAAATTCAGCGACATAAAATGAGGCCGATTAAACGAAAGCCGACAACAGAACGGAGTCAGTCAAAATCTACACTTGGGCCTCTGAGAAAATAAAATATGCACTGTATATTCACATATACGGTACATATTTCGAATAATAAAAATTACTTGGTCGAGCGAATTGAAAAATTAAACCCCGAACGTATGTTTTAGTTTAATAACGAGATTTCTCCGGAGTTGACGCAACCATGTGCGTATTTTCGGCAATAAAGCACTCTAACGTCCCTTTGTCATACGTATTTGAATTGTTTCATTTTGCATAAATGAACCTCACATCAGTCATATAAATTTCACATTGGTTATGGCGAAATATTCGAAGTTTTGAGTCATATTTCCCTGCAAACCTGAACTGAACAACCCTCGCGTTCAAAGCTTTTCTAGAGGCCATCCTAACACTGAGTTTTGATTATTCTGAAAAGCGAACACGTATAATAGATTATCATTTTTTTGTTTTCGTTTAACTGATGATCTAGGCAAAGTAAACGGGTAAGGAATGCTCTGAAAATCTTTAAAGCAACCCATTTATTTCAAGTTTGATCGGTCTCACGCATGCACAAAGTAAGGATCCCATGTTCCACTCAACCTATATGAATCTTCCTTTAATATAGTCCATTCTCCAGAACAATTAGAAAATAAACTGGCAAACCACGAAACAACATCTTGGCCGGAAAGAGTTTATGTGTCCAAGTAGAATTTTCCAGATTCCATTCTTAATAAAGCTTATTTTCAATCCTCGATTCGCCATAGACTCCAAGTAAAAAAATAATACAGGTATATGGATAATATCCCAAGATTAACTGGCATCATATGCACAAAATGTTCATTCGTTGAGGACGTAATCATTTGGTTTGAATTGAAAACTAATCTGACAAGAGTGAGCATAAAAAAAAAGATTTATGAGAATAATATCGGAGCACAAAGAATTTTCAGGCAATAATGTGGGCTGTCGAGAACCATCCGTTGGTTCGGGCACAAATTGAAAAGACAAACGGAATGGTTTCTCAAATCTAAAAAAAAAAAACCTGCTGTACCCTGCAGGTTCAATGTTCGGTACTGTAATTTACATTCATTGAATATTTAACCCACAATAAATAACATTTACTGTTATCGGATATGAGAATAATATCGGAGCACGAAGAATTTTCAGGCAAGAATGTGGGCTGTCGAGTACCATCCGTTGGTTCGGGCACAAATTGAAAAAAACAAACGGAATGGTTTCTCAAATCTAAAAAAAAAAACCTGTTGTGTCCTGCAGGTTTAATGTTCGGCACTGTAAACTACATTCATTGAATCTTCAACCCACAATAAATAACATTTACTGTTCTCGGCTATTCAGTACGGATGGTGCCCTTGTGACACTTGCGTAGACTCTAATGCAGTAATTACCTGAGATTTATAATAGGTAACACGTGGCCTAAGAGCAGTCACACATCACGTAATGCGGACATGCATTGTGTGAACCATCACACTACTCAATACAAACTTATTGATTCACGAAACTCATCAGTTCCCCTTGAAATCAACGGCAGTCGGACAAAAGGTTTTCCTGAAAGTCGTACATATTCGTCTCTCTTTTTTAAAAGACTGAACGGGTCTTGGAATTGATTTAACTTGACATGCGTTACTTTTTCGAATGTAATCTACACATTCCAAGCTTGTGTCAACAGAAACGAGCAACGGGAAAATTCTCACCCACACAATCTACTCAACTCAACATTGCAGTCACAGAAATAAATTGAGCCATGATACAGCATTTGAATATATATCGATTTAATTAAAGGATTCACAAAGCTCTCTTCAAATGATTGAAAGAAGCCAATTAAAGCGGAGGTATTAAAAATTCACAATTAAATCCATTAAGGGCCGGGACAAGGATAACATCATCCATCAATCCCTCATTGATATTGATATGTTAAAATTCTCCATTATTTTTCATTTTCTGAACTTATTTACGCAGATCGGAAAAAAGTTGACAACCTGTCCGTGTTCATTTGAGAAGAGAAAAATTGGGATTTGGTAATCTTCTTTGAAACTTGCTACTTTCCTTTTTTTAAAAGCTACTCATTTCAACGACACGCGGAAAATAATCGTCTTGCCTTACCCGGCTAATTTTTATATCGTATTGCGCCGTTTGCACCAAAATTACAGAAAACTTTCACCATTGTTAACCAGATCCACTGGAGAACCTTAAACATTTAAATAAGCTAATCGACATTTAAACATTTATAAAGGTCAAATACGACATTTGAACATTTACATACGTTGATAAGACATTTGGAAAATCATGCGGGTATATTAAAAAATTCGCAGAGCAAGAAATGGAAAAGAATGTGACGTCAAGAAGTGGGAGAAAACGAGACACCCGGAGGCCATCAAAAAGAAAGGGTTGACCAAAAAAAAAACACATGCTTATTTACCTCGTCCAAGATCTGGACACGGTCGCATCAGACGCACGGAACAACAACGGAAACAACCGGACGTCAATCACGTCAACGATTTTTTTTTTTTGGCAGATGCATATGAAGGTGGAAAACGTATACGCATTCGGAAAGACGTCTTCTGGAAATCCCCCCTAAGAGTATAAGAAATCCGCGGCCAAACACACCATCGCCACTTCAGGAATTCTCATATACATTTACGGTACTTGGTCGATTAAAAAAAAAAAATCCCAAAGATCAGATAATTTTAAATCTGAACAAAACAAATATTTTATTGGACGCCTCATTTACGTATTTCCAGGAAGAGCGCATCAGACGATACTCATTCTTCGTTAACGCTGATCACGATTCCATTGCTAAGAATTTCAAAAAAGAAAACCCGAAATATTATTCACCTATACTGTAAACGACGTTCAATTGCGCAGAATAATAATACGCATTTCCCAATTTTAGCTAATAAAAAGCCTCTGCATGGAGACCCCTTATTGTAACTCTATTGATTAGATAATGCCCTAAAAACTATTCAAGTCACATTATCGAGGAAAATGAAGAAGTTCCCTGTATAACAGCTGATGACAAGGAAGGAAGCCTCGCCTTCTTTATTTCTCATGATTCTTGGCAACAGTGCCTGCATCTTTATTCATTCCTACATATCTTACATAGTATAAGGTCTTTCATCACGATAACTAGAAAGACTCGGGGTTTCCATTATGATGCACGTGTTATGTGGTCATTATAATAAGAAGGGGATGCACGAAAGTAACGATAGTTCACACGCTTTTGCATAAAATAATTCTGAAATTATGTGACGCAAGAGTAAAAAGAGTGTCAGCAATTAAAACACACCCAATGGATATTAAAGGCCTCGCAGGAAAATTTAAAAAAAATTTGCAAAGTATATTCCTTGCTTTCTCGTGAATTTTCGCGGATGAGTATACGCTGATTTCCTTGTCCGGTTGCGGCTTATTGTTTGATTCACCGAGAGATCGTAAGGAACCCCTTTCGTGTTAAAAAAAAAAAGTTAACCCAACAAAAGTTGAGCCCGATTTCCCTTCAGTGTTGAACACAGATTCTTCAGCTGACCTAGACATCTTAAAATTCTTTGAAAGCTGTGGAGAAATTCATTTCAATTCCTTCACCCCTATAGTTTTCTCGAGACGGGAAGAAAAGTATGAACGTACAGACGAAAAACAAAACCATCGCTCAACCTCATTTCGGCGAGGATTCATGCATCCAAAAAAATGGAAACCGATGACACACCTTGAGACTGAGGAAAGAGAAAAAAATTACATGAAAGTAGGAACCCCTACTGTCTTCCTTCCCCAAACACAATCAAGAAACACGACGATTACGTGTCCTTCTGCACATGTGAACATTCTTGACAACCTCAAAAGAAGTCGCAGATTGTCCTGGTTTTCGTCGGTGGATCCGCTCCGAAAAGTGTGTAGCCTACACAATGCGAGTCGCATTTGAAAAACACAAAAAATAAGAGCCGAAAATAGTAAAATAAATGACACGTAAAAAAAAAAACGCAACATCTCACGTCCATTCTCCCAAAAATGAATGAACTACTAAAATGGGTGGAAAAAGGAGAACGCCCAAATCAAAATTTCATGCAGAACGAGGCGCTTCTGGAAGTTCAATTTTGGCAACAAAAAAAAAAGGATTGAAAAAGTGGAATGACTGAGCTGATACNTTTTAAAAGACTCGGGATTCTCACAATTTAATAGAAAGGTTCTCTCCGAAATCTTGGAGGACCAGGAAAAAAAAGTTAGTTCTCTATGATTTCGCATTGAAGTTTCTTTCTAAATTATTCAATCATTTTATAATTATCTGTGAACAGGCTGAATAACACTTCGTGCTTCAAATAGTTCCCAGCAATTACCTCGTGCTATCATTTTTTGATTGAAAAACAATGCCAATCCATTATTTATTTACTGTTTTGTACTTTTTTGAATTGGATATTTGCGTGAGGGGAGGGTGAGGCGATGTTTTGAGCCTTGTGAACGCCGACAAGCGGCAAATGAAGCTTATTTATCAATCAATCAATCAATCAATCAATCAGAAACCTTCTTCTTGTCCCAATTCATCGCAAGGACGAGCGTGGGTGTGCCCAAAAGGAAAAATAACGAACCTTGTCCTTGACGTTCTCCATGATGCCAGCGACGGTCGACGTCGGATGGATCAAAATGACACCCAAAGTGCGAGCAGGATATGCCATGGCGAACCTAGTGGCGACGTTGGCCCCCGCTCCTTCACCAATCAGGACAGCATATTTCAAGTGAAGGAAGTCCAAGACAGTCACCAGATCCTCAGCTAGGACTTGCAATGTTGGAAAGACAAACCTGTGCGGGACATTCAAGAAATTTGATTGTGCGCTTCAGATTAAAAAAAAGAAAAAAAGTGGACTGAACGCGGAGTTGGAAAGAAAAATGTCATCAGTCAACGACGAAACCTTTCGAAATTATCATTCAGTTCAACCGCGAGCCCCAAAAGTATTCTCGATTAAACTCCCTGGAAGAACCAATTAATCGGAATAAATCTGAAGTATGCTTCTCCGCTACAAAATGTACTGTACTTATAACACGAGAATCTTTAGATTCATTTTGACGAGAGTGTACGTTTCTACGGCTTCGATTCTTTTAGAAAAACTATATCAAATAAGGTCGAATGGAGATTCGAATTATATTAGGTTCTAAAAAAATATTTTTTTCGGGTGTAATGTTTACTTGCATCACATTGGATTTACTGGAATACTGCACCATCAGCAAATTGATGCGCGTCATGATTTTCAAGTTCGAGTTTTCAATATTGACTATTATTACTGTACTAAACAAAATTTGCAGACTTGTAGACCCATTTAATTCATTACAGGATTTAATATCACTGGTTGGGAATGCGTCAAGAAAGGCAGCATTAATCGTTGATCAGACTTTTCTCATTCAAGTCAATTACGGAAGAACATCGGCATTCGGTCGCCTCGTGAGAGATTAATTCAATAACTTGGAGCAGCATTTTCCCGATGAACCCGGGCAATGACCTCTTGTCTTCATTATTGGAATTGGAATACAGATATCGTTCATGTCAACAGTAACTGACAGGTAGTCTTTACGAGCAGCAAATCCCACTTCTGATCCTTCACAGGTCCGATGGATTTTCCCGACAAATGTCAGGTTCACATGGAGTTAATTCCGGCTTTTCAAGATCTTTTACATAATGTCGTTATTCTATCTGGTCAAGTGATGTTTTTATCGAACTTTCCATCGAAAAACAACCGGATATGGGAGCGAATCATCATCAGCATCGATTCGATTCATATGAGATTTAAAAAAAAAAAAGCGTTCGACCTGGAGATTAGGATGAATAATGAAAACTCATTCGTCAACTGATACCCGATTACGGTTACATCGATCACGTATTTTTTGCAGAAATATCGAAATAAAGTAGCATCCAGAAACTTGGAACCTAGAGAAATTAATTTTAAGCTTCGAAACGATATTCGATTTGAATATGACGACAGTTGAAAAAGAAAAGAAAAAGGAACTCCGTGTCAAACTTCAAGAAATAGCATAGCTGGCTTCTCGTGGGAAAATCTTTGTAGGTTCTGTCGGGATTTCCATCGAAAACATTCGGGGTTTGGTTTCTTACGCTCCCAATCCCAAAGAACTTCATTCTTATCTGTCGTCAAAATGACAATTCATGATCAAGGTAAAAGAGCTCCGCAATTTATTTTTTTACATCAGAAGAAAATCGAAAAAACGGGTTCTCTCAAAATCATTCAATGGTGCGTTAAAATTTAGAGAGAAAAAGAGCACCTGTTCAGATATATTCATTCATTTTTTTGTAAAATGTAAATGTAACTGAGATTACAAAGTAGTTTTTTCATCACTTTTCCGAAGCTGTCGACGCTACTCATTTGAGTAAATGACACCAAGTACCGTAGCGTTAAAATGGAGTGAAAAGCTATTAATTTAGAAAGATCGATAAATTGAAAAAATTCAGATTATGTGACCCAATTAGTTCAGGCACGATTTCAGCGCATACAGCCATGCACAATTCAGATTATTTTTCATCTATTCATTTTCCATTCGATATCTTCAAGTTCAAAAATTTTTATTCGTCTGCAGTATACTTCCACCAATATAGACATCAGCGATAAATATTTGTAGGGATTTGACAGACATTATTTCACCTAGCATACTCAGCTTAAACTATAACCTG